ACTCGAAAAACGCTGATGACGCTACAGGTTCTCCGAATTCCGAAACAACCAAAAGAACGAGAACGAAAAATTCTTTGGAAAACAACGGTGTTTAAACAACGATTTTGCCATGATGCTAGATTGTGAAGATGAAAGTCAGGAGGATACATCCGACATTTGCAGTCACGATGCAATTCTCAAAAGGGAATTATTGCACCGCAATAAAAAATAAATAAATATAACTGAAAGTCCTCTCAACTGGCAAAAGAATTTACAATTTTGTCAAGTTTCAAGTTTTTAAAGTTTGTCGCCTCGAGCGAGTAGTTATTTAGTAGCGCAGGTTTGATTTACGGCCCTATAAGAAGTTTTTATTATATACAATGTTCCAATTTTTAAACTCAAGTACTAAAAAAAGTTTATTAAAAGTTACTAACCTTTCCATTTTTTATTTATCTAATCCCCTAATTTACTCACCTAAATTATTTCTTAAAAATACTTGACATTCGCATCCGCGGATGTCTAAAATTCCACATTCGCAACATCCCTAGTATGTATGTATGTATGTATGCACGTACTTATTATTGTTGCCACATGCTGCATATATATTTATGTACATACATACATACATATGTACATATATAATGAGGGGCTCAGCAATTTTACTTCCGGTTGGAAACATTCACTTCCCGGTTTTGTGCGGTACTTTTTATGGTTTTTTAAAGTTCTTATTTCTTCATTTCCAGTGTGTAATTGCATACATTCTCATTCATGGAGACCTTTGAGGAAGTCGTAAATATGTATGTGTATACCACGTACGTTCATATATTTATATACAGTGACTCATACAAACGTTCAAATTGTAATTTTTTTTTCAACACGACTATTGAGCTTTATACCACGATTGTTCATAAGAAAAACGGCAAAAGAAACAAAGTCAAAGCGGTAGAACCTATCACCGCATCTCGTCATCAGACTTCTTTCGCTGGATTTCAGCAGGGATGGAACCCGAAATTTTTGTGTTATTTTTTCTTAATACCTATTGCTCAGGCTTTAACTAAAACCATAACAATTTTATACATATTTTAGAAAAATTATATAAATTTTCATCAAAATTTCAACTTTTTACGTCTGCAAAAAAAAAAACAAAAAAACTAAATATCAACGCGTATTTTTAATCGCTTGCAACTTGCACTTAGGTTAGGTGAAAAAAGGCGAAAAAAGTGGGTTAGGGCATTCCCCAACAAGCTTCGAGTGTACCTTAAGTGAAACCAGGGATCTGATTGCCGCCTGACTGTCTGAGTAAATGTTAACCTCCCTTGCCTCCATCGCGCGCTACTAGACCCTAGACGGTGGAAGCACCCGCCCAAACATTTTCTAAAATTTCCAAGTAAAAATTTTGTGTGAAAATTGGCTACATTTTTCTAAATTTTGTTGAAAAACAGTGTGATGACCAGTTGCACCAATCAATTTTATACTTATCAGCCTGTTAAAATTTAAAATTACCCAATTTCGTTTGGAAAGTTTGTCATTTTAAATTTTAACGGTCTGATAAGTGTTTAAAATTGATTGGGGAAACCGGGCATGAAACCTTTATTTATTTATATGGTTATGGTTATAGCATGAACAGTATTTCTACAAAAAAATTATTTATATTGAAAAACATTGTTAATATTAAAAAAAAAACCTTATTGAACGTTTTGTTTTGAGTCACTGTAAGCATAAACGTACAGTATAAAGTACAAACGTAAATTTAGTAAAAAAAAAATGCGCGAACGTAGTATATGCATACATTTACACATTTCTATGTTTGTAAATCGTTAAATGCAATAATAGGCCTTGGCATTTTCTTTCATTGGTAAATATGTACTAAGTTCGCTTTTACCCGACACTACGACGCTTGTTTATTTCCGTTGTTTTCGCTGCTCGCAATTCATTCATAAAGTCTAATAAGTATGTACGTAGCTATGTATGTATTTACTTCGATATGTACCTCATATGTATGTACATACTTTTGTAGTTTAATTTGCCTCATTTTTTTCTCTTTATAGCTGTTGTTTTTCAGTATTTCAACTTAGGGCTGTCATTCATTAATACAATATTACAGCTGCCTCGTTTTGCTTTAGACTTTGATCGTACTTATTCAATAGTTTTGCTACACATTGCCTATTGCATTGAATTATTCGTAGGTACATAGTATAGAAATAATAGCAATACTTGTGTAAGAAATTTTTATGAATGAAAAAGTGTTACATTAAGCTGGATCGTGGACAAAAAAAGTTGGTAATTACGCAACTAAGTTTTAAACCTACAACTAAACTATCGTTGAGCAACACCATCAGTTCAGTTGGAAATAGGAAGCGCCTCTTCGAACTGATATTTATGCTCTTATAGGCAGTGGCGGATTTGAATATTTGTCACCCTTTAGGCAATTCAAAATTTGCCGCCCTTTTTTATTTTGAGGTAAAAGTACCAGTTTTGAAACGAATAGCCGTAAACGGTAGGATTCAAACTAATGTTATTTACTATACTTTTATTACAATTAAGATGAAAAAGTGGTATTTGCCTTGAGTAAAGGTTTTCAACTTTTAAAGAAAGCCATCATCAACAAACTTTTTTTCACTTGATAAGTTATAATCTCAAAAATACTAAATTAGTATTTTTAAATATTATCATTTAATTAATATCAAAAATACCTAAGTGTTGTCCTATTTTCTGATTGCGTATTTGAATCTCAAATTAATTTTTCAAAATGTACAAACACGAATTCTACTTTCAGTGCAGCCAACTTGAAAAAACTTTTAAACTTTTTTTAAACTCAAATTTTGTCGCCCCTAAATTTTGCCGCCCTAGGCACCTATGTTGCCCTTACCTTAAATCCGCCACTGCTTATAGGGCAAATCCTGCATCGCCGCTGCCTACCTCGCTGACCCGCATTGTTGTCTGGTCTGGTCGAAAATATTCAGACTGAATGCCAATGCCGGAAAAGTCATCACCATTCCATTTATAATGAAAATCAAAATCCCCTTATTTAAACTTTCAATATCAAACGCAACCACTAAAATGATGTGAAATATCGTTTTTATGCCTGCAAGAAATAATGCTGACGTCCCACATGGAGCACTGGCTATATACAGCAGCTGTATCCTTTTTTATGACGTTACAGTCTGAATAAGTCACTCACTAATTCTAAACGTATCAAGGTTCACGGGAGCGCTACGTCTGATGAAGCCCTAGAAACCCTTTTCTTCTTGAAAATCGGACCTTAAATCACACTCTTTCGAGTAGGCAAATAAAATATGGTCGACTGAAACCTGTTTCGTTTTTTATCTGGGAATTGTTCTTGTTAATCTTTTATATTTTAGTACCACGTTGACCGAGCATTTTGGAGTGCATCTAGTTTTGAAGGTTTCAAGGTTTGGGTTTCAAATAATGGTCTATCGGATAGCATCAGTTATTTTTTTTTTATGTAATATTGTTAATGGAATTTGTTATTTAACCTACGCCTAACCATGTCACTTTCCATGCAAAGTATCTGGGTAAAAAAATTTTATCAGTGCGTTAAATTTAGGCCTAATAAGTACCCCACTATTCAGTGAAAATAAAAAAGCTTGAAAAATAACCTTAATAAACAAAAATATCGTCAATAATATTTTAGCTTACTCCGTCACTCAGAATTCTATATAAATATTTATTTTGGAAGTATTTTGGAAATAAGTTTAAAATACTTTAAGTTTTTAAATCTAATAAATTAAATAAATATCTTACATTAAAAAATTAGGTCACAATCCGATTAATAAATACGCCAGGTTGAGTTGTACCTAAATATATATATATGTATGTATGTGCTGCCTATTCCCACATACATACATGTGTACATACAAAAAAAAATTGGTTAAAATTAGTAAAATACAAATTGGCATTTAAAAGACAAAGTGGCAACCTTCCACAAAAATATTTTTGGATAGATTTCATCAAAAATTCATCTTTTGATGTCTAAATTCCGTGGTCTTATTTAAATTTTGTAGATTTGAAAATAAGTGACAATCTTACACTAATATCCTAAGTGATAACACCTACTATATAGGGAAAGCATTGTCTAAGAATTTTTCTTTTAGTACCCATAAAAGGTAATATTGTATTTATCTTAGTTTTCAAAATAATAAACTAAATAAATATACAATAGAAAGTAGGTGCCAACCCTATACACAAATATCTCTAAATTGGAAATTTTTAAAATACTTTTTATTTGATACCCATCTTGCAATGTTTTATTTCATTTATAAATAATTTCGTAACATCATGCAGCCATTCTCGGACATAACCCCTATCTAGATAACCTTAAAATGCAACACGTTATCTGTATACAAAATTTCATTAAAATCGTTGCTCTTTTAATGCAATAAGATTGTGAATTTCATTGAGAGCAGACAGACGCACGAGTAGCTGATTTTAGCACTGTCGCGCCAAATTCGCACTTGAAACTGAATGACAAAAATTTGATTGAAAGTAGAGCATTAAAAGTTTCCATGTCATTATATTAAAAATAATACTCACTCAGTCTGTTTTCACAAGACATTTTTTAAACAACACCAATTGTTTCGCAATTTATGTAATTTCAATGCCAAGTGGAAATTCGGTATTATTCGATTTGGTCCATGTCAAGTGGAAACATAATTTAATGACTAACAGAATTTTCAAAGCAATAATGCTAGATTTCCAGTTGGCATTAAATGGCAAAAATTATAACGACAAAGTGGGACATTTAAAAAATATTAATTTCATTACGTTAAAAAACAGTTATTAAATTCATTTCCACATGGCAATTTTTAAATGCCTCAAATCTATGGCTAGTGGAAATTCGGCATAACACTTTATCATTACTATTTTTGTAATTCAATGCCCAGTGGGAATTTAGCATTAAGCTTTTAAAAATAATTGTTATGTGAAGAAAATTATAATACCTCATTCAGTACTCAGATTTTGAAATAACGATACATTCTTTCTCTATTGCTATTTTTCAGTATTGCTCCATTCGAATTGGTCCCGTTGTGAAGCGTGATGTCATGAAGGCGTCTACAATGTTGGAACACGAGCCACAGTGAGTATTTTCGCAATTCTGACTTCTTTACGTAAACTTGAAATTAAAAATGAAAATAATTGTTCACCATCACACTAGTTTCTCACTTTTGTCCAAAGAACTAAATATGAACTAGTAACTGGCTATTCAGGCAACTTATTTTTGTACATAAACATATAGCTACTTATTTCAAAACATTTACATATATGTAAATGCAATTGAATTAATAAACTCCAATAGCATGAAACAAATAAGGAAAAAGTATTGGTCAACCGGATTTTCAAATTTCTAGTTTACCCATTCATTACACATCCATACAAACATATGTATATATAAACATATGCTACTCTTCAGTATCAAATTCATTGATGAGTAGCACACATTTCTCAATGCCTTCTGGTGAATGAACTCTAATTTGGCAATTGATTCAAATTAATTGTAAACTACAACACCAAGTAACATGAGGCGAACATAATAATAAATTTTGTTTTTTTATTGGAAAAGTGAGAAAGTATGTTATGCAGGGGAGAGGGGTATACTTCATACCCACATGTATGTATGTAGTTCGTTACCCATTCATTCATTCATCATGTTACCAATGTGAGTGTACTAAGTGGAATGTAAAGTTGTTTGCTAAGCGCCCACACAGCCGCATTACACTTGTTGCTATGGAAAATTTCTAGACTGACAACATAAGCGGCGTGTAAAGTGCCACAAACTGAGATATCAGTATAATGTACGAGTATTTATGTGTACTCGTTGTGAATGGTTATTCCAAACCTGCTTATTTTTATAAAGAAATGAGGAAATGCCTACCCGAGTGAATGAATGAACGAATGAATTACGAAAATCTAAATCGAAATTCATATTTGGGCACACTGAAGCGTTCGAACTTGATTTTAGTGGTTACTTAGCAGCGCATGGCCTACATAAGAACTTGTCCATGTCCATTATTATTATTATTGTAATTATAACGGGTTCTATAGATATGTACTGCCGAAATTCGGCCGCTTTTATAGATTTTTTTAAGGTTCCGAAGATTTTTTAATCTTCGTTGTAATCGTAATCTTCGTACTCGGCTTCGGAATGTATCCGTATTAGCCTACGAAGAGGTATGTAGAGGTATTCGTATTCTACTTCGTATTCGTTGTCGTATTCCTCTTCGTATAGATCTTCACCTTCTTATTCGACTTCGTCGTCCTATTCGTCTTCAAATTAATCGACGCTTTCGTTTTCGTCCTTGTATTAGTCTACACGTTCACCTACGTATTTGTTTTAAACGCTATCTTCTCATTCGCCTTCAGGTCGTACTTCTATTCATCTTAGTTTTAGTCTTCGTCCTCGTCCTCGTATTCAAATTCATCTTGATAAACGGCTTCATATCCATCGTCGTATTCTAATTCGTCTCCGAATTCGTCTTCGGTTGGTCTATGTATTCATATTCGAGTTTCGTCTTCATAGTCATATTCGTATTCGTATTTGTCTTCGTTGTCATTTCCTTATTCGTCCTCGTATTTGACTTCGGCTTCGTATTCGTATTGGTCTTCGAATTTGTTTTCATCTCCATATTCGTGTCAGTCTTCGTGTTCGTAATCATTTTCTCGTCCTCATATTCGTCTTCGTATTTGTGTTCGCCTTAGTCGTCGTATTGGTCTTCGAACTCATCTTCGGTTGCTCTTCGTATTCGCAAAAGAATGTGTCTTACAGGTTTGTACATTTGGCCAGTCACAGAGTGGTGTTGTTTAGAAATTTGAGGTCTGCTTAGTAAAAGAATTTCCAGACAACACCACTCTGTAACTGCCAAAATGTACAAATATGTACAAATGTACAAATCGTGTGATCCCTGCTTTAGAAAATCAAATACGACTCAACAGAAAGCGCCATTTTATTCAACTGTTACCTTAACTTGCAGCGGCCTGCCAGGTAGCCAATAAAAGCTCTAAGACCCTCCCTGCTAAGTTCAAGTAGTCTTTCGGAGTTCCTGCTGGAAGACATTCATATCTTTGATTGTCTCAATCCTTTTTATTGCCGCCACTGGGTAGCAATCTGAGATTATTCCTAGCTGCTAAGTAGCTCTGCAGTGTATCTTTGAGATGTAGAAGCCCTTAATGTCCCGGGACGCACGGCAGCATTACTCTATTGTGGGCTCCCAGGTGATTCAAAAGAGTTTTGCTGTTGTCAATAAGCCTTGATGACTTTCTAAATGAGCCTGGGGCAGTTTAATGCTGCCTGACTATCCGACATAATATTTATTCTGAACCAATTTGTCCTCGATTACGAAGACTTTCGCCTGGAATATTGTTTGGTATGTGCCCATTGGCAGACTTTTCTGGAATCTTGGTCCAAGTCCGACTGTCCCACTACTCTCGTCGTACGTCTTCGATTCGTCGGTATACCATACTTGGAAGCCTTCATCAATCATTGATATTACCGGAGCCCCTTTCAGGAATTCGGACATGGTGGCGCGTGTAGAAGCATAGTTTCGGCAACATGGTGTCTGTGAGTTTGATAGCTGTATGGACTATTCAGGAGTAGCTTGAGCTCCTCAAAATGAAACCGAAAATCCCCACTTGTCATGCTGATTCTATTAGGCAATCGTAGGGCGCTCAAGCAGGCCTCCTTTTCTATAAGAATAGACAGGGGAGGAATGCATATAATGACAACAAGGGTAGCCGTTAGACAGGTGCGCATGGCTCCTGTGTTGGCTAGGCAGACCAAGCGTTGCAGCTTGCTCAAGGTGCCACCCGCTCCTACTTGCTTAGCTTTTGCTCACTAGGGCAGTGCCGCATATTCAATACGACCGTATTGAAAGACCAATAAGTTAAGTTAAAGATCGAAAACATTCTTTAAATAATATCTATTGAAAAATAGTTTAATAACATGTTAAGTAAATACATACATAAAAGTGAATAGGCATTATAGCATTTACGAGTTTCATAATTTACGCATCAATCACATTGCACATTACGACTTCCTATTAAATATTTAGTATCTTTGATGATTTTATGACATTTCCATTTTATTATTACATTATTTTTATGACTTTTTAGTATGATTCGGTCATCAAAAGCCTCTTTTGTTTTTCATGTACAGTATGTGCATAATGTATTTATTCAAATTTTGAAAAACTTAACTTAAAATAAGTATGGCGACCGCCTTAGCCGAGTGAGTAGAGTGGCACTAAGGTTCGATTCCTGGTACGACAAGTATTAAAGTTTTTTCTATTGGTGGTCGCCCCTCTGTCATGAAAAAGCTTTCTTGCCAGTTGTGTGACAACATTAATAAGCACGCCCTAAATTCGAGGAAACGCGAATTTCGTGTGAAAAAATATTACCAAAAATTATCAAGCAAAACAAAAATAATTTTTCCCAATTTGTTTTTGGTTTGAGGAAAGCAACCAAATTCAATTAAAAAATAATAATATTAAAACAAAAAGTAAGTTTAAAAAATTTAAAAGTGATTAATTAAAAAAAAAAAAAAAATTAAGCAAGTTAAAAAAGGATTTAAAAAATGTAAAAATAGAACAAAATGGGAAACTGGAAAAAATTGAAACAAATTACAAAAATTAAATAAAGAAAAAAATTAAGGCTTAAACAAAAATTTAAACTTAAAAATTAAAAAAAAAAAAAAATTTTAAAAATTTAAGTAAAATTAAAGTATTTTCACAGCGATCGCCCCAGCTTTAGTATGACGTCAGGCTAAAACGCTGAATTCCTACAAGCTTGGCAGCGATTTCTCGTCTATCACGAATGTGACATAGTGCTTCTACTCCCTGACGTTACTGACTTTCAATTCGCTCTAATAATACGTTTGTAGCAATGGAAACCCAGATTAGCTTCAGATGAGAGTGTTCTTCAGACATATATTTTCTTGTTGTCTGTTGGGGATCTACATAAGTTTTCTACACAACCACCATATTACTTCTAAACCAAAGCTCCGCAGCCGAGATATCGTAAAGCATAGTCTGTCTTTCATCGGCGCAAAACATCAGCGTGATCCGAACTGCTGAAGGCGGACATTTGTTTATGATATCGGTTGGATTTCCAGTTACCTGACGTGGTGATCCCTGGCTATTTCAGTAAAATAAATATTTATTGGAAGAAATGTGCCTCTTTGGTTCGTTGGTGGAGTCTAAGAAGATGTCAGAGTCGATTATGCAGTCGTAAACCTAAGGCTTGTGTCTTCTTCAGGTGCAATCTGTTCCTGACAATCGCTTCGTTAAAGCCAACACTTCCCGCAGGGGTTGGGTGGATTGTGAGATAGGAAAAGTCCTTAGGCCCCCCGCCCGCCTTCGTCCAAGTCCAAGTCGTACGACATTCGACACGAATTTCGATCGTAGTAATCAAGTACGTGGACGGAATCAGATGCTTTTCCAACTTTCCCAAAGTTAGCAGCCTTGTTTTGCTTGTTAACGTATCCGTTTAGGTGAGAATGTGCTTTGTTTTAAGTCGACATGAACAGCGTTCAAATGGTAAATATTTATACGGCGCTGCAATGGTCTTTAGACTTTTGTTAAAATCCGCTGAACGGTTCTGTATGAAAAGTTCAATTTCGGTGCATGACGACGAATTGAGGTTGTCGCAACCACGGCGGCAAGATCTTCGGCCGAACGACCTGTACGAAGACGCACGATTGTTGCCACATTGTGCATCGACCCAGTTGTTTTTTTTGAATTGCTGCACCAAACAGTTGATTGTTGCCTCAGATGACCGGCTTTGTTGACAGAAAAAATCACGCGATGCCGTTTCATAAAACGTTTGCATCACTGTTCCGAGTTGTTCAACTGAGTATCGCTCTGTGCCCTCCGCTCTTCACAATACTTCCTTCAAGCCTAGATCCCTCAGAATGTTCCATCTTCGGAGATAGGGAGTGAATGTGCTTAAGCTGTGTTTCGTTTTTATACCCGAGCGCACTTGTGCACAAGGGTATTATAACTTTGTTCACATAACGGTTGTTTGTAACAGGCAAAACGAATCGAGATAGATATAGACAAATGTATACATAAATGATCAGAATGAAAA